AAAAAAAAAAAAAAAAAAAATCTTTTCAATTTTTATTGTAGAAGTTTTCAAACATGAGTAGAAAGAAAATTTTGTAACCAACACACAACTCTACTTATCACCATTCTGTCATTCTTACAGTATTCCTTCCCACTTTTTTTAACTGCAGCGTTTTAAAATTCTAGTCATTTTATCATTTCATTCATAAATATTTCAATGTTTTTCTGTCAGATAAGGATTTTACACATTGTAATGCCAATATTTCATCCAGCCAAATTAATATTAATTCCTTTCTTCTATCTGTTATCCAGTCCATGTTCAGTTTTCCTCAGATCACTTAAATTTTAAGGTTAAACTATTTGAGTGAAGATTCAAAGTGTGTGCATTGTCCTTGGTTCATGAATCTTAAATCTCTTGTGTAACAGACTCTCTCTTTTCCCTCTATGCCATTTGTTGAAGAAAGAGGATTATATCTTCCACAGAGTTTCCTAGAATCTGAATTTACCTAACTGCATTTTGGGGTTATCATTTAATATGCATTATTTATCCCTTATTTTCTGTGAACTGGTAGTTAGATCTAGAATCCTGACTAGATTCGAGCTAATTTTTATAGTAAGAATGTATTATAAGCAAATCTGTGTGTCTCCTAGTGAATCACGTCAGGAGGTACATAATATCTGGTTGTCGTACTTTTAATGGCATGATGGCTTATCATTGCACTCAGTATCAGCATGATCTCTCCATTATAAAGTCCCCAGGCAATCTTTCATGTAATTATTTTAGCCATTAAAGACATTATTTTTACTGTAGACAGATTTTTTTTAGAATTGTAACAACATTTTTCATCAGCCTTTTCTGTATACTTTAGGAATTAGTAATTTCTTGAATACTTCTGACAGTTTTGGTACAGTTATTGAGTTGAGTGTTTTCTAGATGATTGAAATTGTTCTTTTGTATGTTAGAGTGGTTTTGAATAGTACATTATCTGTTGGATTCACTGATACAAATGAGAATTTCTGCAACGCTGAAGTAAGTTGTGTGGAATAAGAGGACTATCTCGGAGGACAGGCTTCAGTAGTAGCTGCAGAAACCCATTACAGAAGCGGGTTGGGATTAGAGACTGCATCTGTTCTTCATGTTGTCCTGCTTTATGGTATCACATTGTTGTTTGGGGCAGGACAGGTAATGGAAACAAGAGTCACACCAGTATTTAGCCTGTCATGAAAAAACAGAGATACCCCATTGTTTGCTGTCAGCTTTCCTTTCTATATTCGTAAAAGCTATCTTAAAATTTTATTTCATATCCATGAGGGCAGAGACTATGTCTGCCTGACTTATTTTCCCTAAGGGTTTAACATAATTCCTTGGCCTTAGACTGGACTTATAAACATTAGTTGAAGGGACAGATTCATCCCTTCATTGTGGGATCTGTAATACTAAGGACAAATTATGTAGCTATCTGACAGTGCTTCTCATCTTCCTGTGCGGTGGTAGAACTGCAGTAGTTGGTTCATCACATCAGATCCTGGAACACTGCTATTCCTTAAAATTTGTAATGAAAATCTTGGGTCACACTGCTTTTAAAGCCCTACGGCTGAATACAGACAGGATAAAGCATCACAGTCCTCTCTGTGGCATCCCAGCCCTGTGCTGATGAAGGGTTAGCTACCTTCCCTCCAGCACATTCCTGAATGTATCAAGGTTATCTGCTGGTAATCAGATGGGGGCTCGAATGATAAAATAAAAGCGCTCAGCTTATTTTTAATTACTTGACTCTGGATTTTTGTTGGTATGAAATTCTATCTCTAGTTATCATTTCTGTTTTTATAGCTTTACTGCATAGCTGCCTGATTAAAAGTATTGGGGCCGGGGATTTAGCTTAGTGTTTCCACTGCCTGCCTCTCGCAAGCGCAAGGACCTGAGTTCAATCCCCAGTGCAAAAAAATAGTATAGGCATTACCAGAGTCTTTGAAAGTTTGGGATCAGTGGAAATGCTTGTTGGGGGACATGTAGCAGTACAGACACCTGTCAGGTCACTGTCCCCTGCCACTGCGCTAGCTCAGTGCTTACCTGCTGGTCACATTGACCTTGGCCTTTGGTCCCTGTCCTTGACTGCATGACTTTGGAGAGCATCTTGCATGTGCTTCTCAGGCACAGATGCTACTTTACTCATCGTGTAACAGGAAGGCACTGAAGATTTGTAGAACAATATTTTATACAATATTCTTTGTGTTTTCTACTATATTTGCTGCAATTTTTAGTGTGATTTGTTTTGCATTATTAATCAACAGGATACGAACAGTTGGATTTTTGGCTGCATAAACAGCACTTCTATGTGGTAAGTCTGGCGGACTTGGTACCCTCTGTTCTCAAACAGTACTCAGACGTCAGAGGTGCCTATGTGTATTCCTCCACATTTGTTTTGTTGTTACATTGTTACAGTATTTTAAATGAAAAGTGAGAGAAATTAATATACTAGTAATATTTATAAATGTAAAAAGTAGTCGGTAGTTAGGAAAAACCATTTTTATTTTTATTGCCAAAGGAACTGTGTGGACATAGAGTACTGACTAGACTTACTGGACTGTGTTCATTTATTATAACTCTACTAAGTCTGTAGATGTTTTCTTTTTCCTCTGCAGCTTATTTGTAATTTATAATACTTCAGTGTTCTTGTTCTTTAATTATATTTGTATTTATGTCAAAGCCAGCAAGGGGTTGATCTGTCCTGGAGAGCTGAACTGCTGCCCACAATTAAGGTAAATGTAGCTTTGCAACCTTACTAATCAGGTGAAAACATTCTCGAGCCCATTGACACGCTCTTGGGTACTTCATCAGTTGATTGCTGGCATACGTGTTAGACATGTTTTCTTCAGGGTGAGGGGCAGTTAACCGCGGGGTGTACTCATGGTAGATAGAGCACCTGCCCGGCATGTGTGAGGGCCTGGGTTTGGTCACCAGTGCTGGGGGAAAAAGACTTATAAGTTAACAATTTTCTGAACCTCTGTATGTTACAGCATCGTATTAAAGGTTTGATCAGTTTTTAAAATCAAATCTGAGTGGTGTTTAAATAGTCTGTCTTGAGCTGTAAGCTGATTGATGTCTTTTGCTCAGAATTTCATTTTGAGAGGAAGCACCTTAGGGAAGTGGGCATCCCAGAGAGCTGTGAAGTCATTTCCGATGGGCTCAGCAGTGCGTTGCTGAGCTCTGAGAGGACTTGCCTCGGCCCCCCTCTCTGGATGGCGAATCACAGAGGGAGTTACTGCCGAGAGTCTAGTGGAGTAGCAGGTCTTATGTAAAAAACACTTATTCATATAATATTACTGAAAAGGAAAATAATTGAAAATTAGATAAGTTATCTCTTATTTCCAATTTGCATTCATTATAACTGGTAATATTATACCAGAATTGATAGTTTTCATTCTTCTAGTGAATTGATACTTTAAAAATAAAATACAGTTTCCTAGACTCACACTTGAAAGAGAAGTCATTCTGGTTTTTCCTAGCCATCTCCTAAGTAACCTGACACCAATTAAGTCATTTTTGCTGACAGAGGGGATGGTACAGAAAGAATAATTGCAGACTGTGAACCCTTGACAGGAACGGTTGCAGTTATTTTCTGTCACCTTTGTCAATCTACTTTGTGCATATTCATTCATGGAATGGATATTATTTGTATTTGTTTTAGAATATTTTAGAGAACAAATATTTTAGAGAAGTAATTTGGCTTGTGAACATTTTTCAGGTCTCACTGATTCTATGCTAACCTTCCAGGCAGGAGCATAGTGATTCCTGAGGCATATGATATGTGTCCTTTTTCCAATTGGAATATTCTGTCCCTCTTAAATTTAAGAGTTAGGAAGAAATAAATGATTAAAAACCTTATCAAATGTACTTTGCTCTCCTGTGTTTGAAGTTATTTCTTAAATCATAAAATCTTTATATTATTATTTTTTATCTCCAAAGATTGAACGCGTGTTTATCAAGCTCTGGGCCCCTGTGTTCTGAATGTAAGAAACAGACTTGCTGAACAGCAGGAGAATGAGCTGTTCCAGCTGCTTCCTTTTTGTAGAGAATATTGGAAGGCAGGACTTAGAAAGCAAGGATTTCAGTGTTCTGTCTGCATTCCTGGGTGTTCTCAGCATAAGAAGGTTATAATTACTAGGTATAAACTCTTCCATTATGATGAAAATCGAGATTTTATATAATGTGGGTTAGCCACTTCTGAGTAGTACAGAGTAATTTTGCCACAAAGTTAAAGGAATGATTTGAAATGAAAAAGTTTTTGTTTTGGGGGGTTGTTTTTTTGTTGTTGTTTTGTTTTGTTTTGTTTTGTTTTTGAGACAGGCTCTCACTATGTAGTTAGACTGACCTGGAACTCACTTTGTAGCTGGGGCTGGTCTCCAACTCACAGCAATCCTCCTGCGTGCTGGGATTACAGGCATGCGCCACCACACCCGGCTATTTTCTCCTGTTTTGTTTTTTTGTTTGTTTGTTTGTTTGTTTTTGGTACTGGGGATTGAACTCGGTCCTTGTACTTGCGAGGCAGGCAGTGACACCACTGAGTTAAATCCCTGGCCCTGAATGAAAAAGTTGTATGGGTTTTATTCATATTACTTTAACAAAGGGAATTTCAAATGAAAATCATATCACTTACAGGAGTCTTTGCTGACCAAGCTCCCCAGCCGGACACTTATAATTTGAACACTTTGATTGTTGAGAGTGAGCACAGTATTTAGAAGCTATTAAGCGTGGGTAGCTGTTACACACTGTCCAAGGTCTTCCTAATTAATTTCTCTTTCATGCAGTCTGCCATTTGTCTGGTGGGTCTCAGCTGCCTGTCACTGTGATTTATGTGGCCCTTTTATGGCCCCTGTATTTACACTGGAACATCTGAGTGCTGCCAAAACTTCGCTGAAGTAGGCAGAATCTGGTCAGGGTGTTACAGGGCCACTCAGCTAACCCAGGGACGGTGTGTTAACTTCAACACTTCTGTCCTAATCCCTCGCTGGTGCTTCTGCAGAAGCCTGCAGGAAGCTGTGCCTATAGAAGTCTTTTAATGTAAACATGCCTTACCGTACAACTGTTCCCACCCCATGTTTTTTCAGAGAAAACCTGGATTAAAAGTTGCATTTAGAGCTTTGGCATTCTATTAGGCCTGTTCATTCCTCAAAACACTTGCTGTTAGGATTGGCTCTTAATGTTAAGAACTGAAGGTTTTTCGGTTGATGCAGTGCATTGAGTCGCACGGCATCTTTGTCATTGAGGACATAAATTTTGGGGGACGATGTTCATGGCTACCGTTAGCCAGCAGCTCTTTGCTGCCCGGCCAGGCTGGACTCCTCTGAGATTACGCAGTAACCCTCCCGTCGTCATTGGCATCCGTTCGCCGGCTATCGAATGCTCTGTCACACCCCCCAGAGTAGGCACGGAGATGACGCTGGGATGCCGCCTGCTTCACGGAGCCAAATCCCCAACTAGAAGGGCCAAGCCTGCGGATGATTCTGGCTGGAGCAGTGCTGGGTGTTGCTTGTTTCACATGAGGATATGCCGGAGGACTATTTTGTTTGGGTCATCGTGTTTAATGTAACTATTTATCTACCAATGTAAATATGGACATTCTATGAAGTACAAAACATAAATTTGAATTTAAAAAAAAATTTTTTGGTACTGAAGATTAAACCCAAACCCAGAGCTTTGGATGTGCTAAGCATGTACTCTCTGAAATGTTTTTAAGTAACAAATTGAGAACTAAGAGACTGTAATTTATTTTTCTTTTAAATGCGTGACTCTCCATCTATCTTAAAACATAAACTAGCTTCTTTTCTTCATCTTTTTTTTAGTCTCTGATGTTAAGACTTCAGGACTATCCGTCTTTGTCTCATCTTGTGGTTTATGTCCCATCTGTTCATGGCAGTAAGGTAACAAATGGGCTGGGGTTGTTTTCGGAATGTTTTGGGGTTGCTCTTGCTAAAGTTTAAAGCTCACCTCTTGATAAGCTCTCACGTGTAGGGCTATCTAAAATGGTGACTGGTTTTGGTGATTCACCAAAGACTGCCCAGCCATTAAGAAGACCACTCCAGCTTGAACTAAGCAGGATAAACCCAAGGCTCTCTGCTCCTCATGAGAAAAGAGCTCCTGTTTATCAGTCTTGCAAATCTGTTACGAGGCATCTGAGGTGATTAATTTTGGAAGATTAAGTTGTTCATTACAAAATGGATCAGAAATAAGACTAGACATCTCGAAAGGGGTTGTGAGGGCTCGTGAGTAGGGAAGAGGGAACGTAAGCCAAATAATGGCGACTTACGAGAATTGGAGTTGGGGGAGAAGGTGGGGTGTAAGGGCCCCCTGTGGTCTCTTTCCCAGTCTAACCAGCAGACTTATTCTTGAAGGCCCAGCCCACGGCCCCTGTCCATTCACCTCCCCTCGGTCCCATTCTACCCTGTGGATGACTTGTTTCGAGGGCTGTGTTACACTGAATTATGATTTGTGTCTCTGTGGCCATCACTATTGTGAGCTGTTTGAGTGTCACAACAAGAAAAGTTTTACTCTACTCTGTATCCTCAACTTTTAGGGACTACCACATAAATTTTTTTAATGTTTCTTCAATGAGAAAATTGATAAGATTTGTGGTCAGAATGATTAGGGAAATTTAAAAGAAGTAGGGAGAAGAGAAAGGGCTGTAGTTGAATGTCATCTCAGAGACCGAGTCTTACAAACACCTTATAGCAGATTCATTGCTTTGCTTTGCTTCGCTTAGCTCAAGTGAGAGGTAATTCAGCATCTTCAGGGCTAAGAGTTCCTGAGGATTTTTCTGTCAGGTAAATGGGTTTTGAATAAATCTGACATCTTCCCCAGACTTGAAAAGGCCGTCTGTGGTTATTCCAAGAACTTAACGAGCCTTTCTGCAGTAGACCCTCAGCAGCCTGACAGACGTGACTGTCCCGCTGCTCTCCCAAGTTACCAGCCCTGCCCGGCTTGGGTGATGGCTTGGCTTCTCCTACCGTCTGCAAGTCGGTGTCGTAGCCCTCATCGGAGGCCTGTAGCTGTGACACAGGCAAAGTGGAGGAGTGTGCGTCAGCTGACACCTTTCTTACTGT